CCTTTGTCGAAGTGAAGTATGTCAGGTTCTTATGATCGGAGTAGACCTTGACCGGTTCCTTGGTTCCGCTGAGCCACGGTCGCCATTCCTTGAAGGCCCATATGATGGACATGAGTTCTTTATCGTGAATTGGGTAGTTGAGCTCTGGTCCTCGGAATGCCTTCGAGAAGAATGCGATTGGGTGAAGACGATTCTGGTCGTCTCGTTGTCCTAATTGTCCACCCATAGCCCAGTCGGAGGCGTCGGTTTCGACCTCGAATTCCTTATCGGGGTCTGGTAGCATAAGGATTGGGTCGTCCAATATCATTTGCTTGAGCTTGTTAAAGGCGTCATCGCATTCCTTGGTCCAGTTGAAGACAGCGTCTTTTTTGGTCAGGTCATTTAATGGTTTAGCGATGCCTCCAAATCCCTTAATGAAGCGTCGGTAGAAGTTGACGAATCCCAGGAATCCTCGTACACCTGTGACAGTGATGGGTGCTGGCCATTCAGCGATATCCTTGATCTTGGTTGGGTCCATGCGGATTTGACCTGGAGAGATACGATAACCCAGGAAGTCTACTTGTTCCTTGTGGAACTCGCTCTTCTTTGGGTTGACGGATAGTCCTGCTTTTTCAAGGGCAGCCAACACCTTGTGGACGTGTTTCTGATGTTGTTCTTCGTTTTCAGAGAACACGATGATATCGTCAATGTAGGCCATCACAAATTCTCCCGCAAACTGTTTGAGTACTGCGTCGATCCGCGCTTGGAACGATGCAGGTGCGTTCGTGAGACCTTGCGGCATGATGCGATACTCGTAATGTCCCAACGGGGTACGGAATGCCGTCTTGATTTCCTCGCCTTTCTTCATGCGAATCTGTGAGAAGGCTGATGTTAGGTCGAACTTGGAAAATATGGTCGCTTTCCCGAGTCGATCTCTCATCTCTTGGATCAGCGGCAGTGGGTATCGATTCTTGATTGTGTCGCTGTTGAGATGTCGATAGTCGATGACGAGACGGAGTTCTCCATCTTTCTTAGGTACGAAAAGGATGGGGGAGCCCCAGGGAGATTGAGATTCCCTGATGTGTCCCAATTTGAGCCTCTCGTCAATATACTCCTTGAGCGCCTTCATCTGTGCAGCGTTGAGCTGGTAGATCTTCTGGTATTTGGGTTTAGCGCCTTCTTTCAAGGGTATCTCATGATCCCATGGACCATGCGCTGGCAATGTGCACTCAGAAGACGACCGGAATATCTTATACCCTCGGTATTGCAGTGGGACGTCTTTGAGTTGCTCATCGGCAGTCTTAGGTGGTGGTTCAGGAGGTGGTCCCTCCTCGGGGTAATTGTTGATGAACATGACCATTCTTGATGGTTCTAATGGTGGCTTTGTCTCGTATAACGAAGGATGCCACCCCTTTCTGTCAGTGACTGAGACTTCCTCGATTGGGTTCTTATCGACGGGGGGTTTCCATTGTTTAATGGTCCCGTTAACCCAATCGATGTCCGGATTATACTTTCTGAGCCAGGGTCTTCCCAAGATGGCGTCATGTTTGCCGATGGGTGTGATGTCGAAGACGATTTCTTGTTCATCTCCGTTGATGGTGACTTTTAGAGGTACCGTTTCCCTTAGTACCTGTCCCTGCTCATAGCTCGGACTTTTTCCTTCAAATGTGTACACTCGGTAGGGTCTCTTCTTGAGTACCCATGGTATCTTCCAGTCATTCACCGTCTGTGGTGTAATGAGGTTGATTGATGATCCTGAGTCGATCATCGCCATTGCTTGTCCGTTGAATGGCTGTGTCCAGTTCATCTGGACCTCGTAAATCGAGTCCTCATCTCGACTTACTTCGAGGATCTGTGGCGGTGCAGCTACTTGCGGTCCTCTCGCGAGGAGCTGGCGCCATTTCCCTGTCTTCTTCGGCCACCACGGCGTTTCCTCTGGGCACCGGACTTAGTCGGGCTGCCGCAGACCGTGTTGGAGTCTGAAGACGATGCTACTGCAGTTTCCTTTCCTTTCTGTGAGAACTGGAGTGTCCTTTCTTCACGGAGTGCCTGCCGGGCGTGCCACTGGCGAGCCTTGTCGGCCATGTGGACTGCGCAGTTGACTCGGTAGCACTCTTGATACCGTGAGTATGGAGATTCCATGCATTCTCTGCTGTACCCGTCCTTGAGGGGAAGCTTCAGGAGCTTGCCACCCTCCTTGCGGTCACGGGATCGACCGATGTCCCACATGTCGATAGAATCCTTGTGGTACGTGGCTCGTACGGGAACAGGTACTTCATTTTCCCAGACTCGTTGGGGAAAGTGGTCTCGTTCCATTTTGTACGATAGGTGCCAGGGGCATGCATTGTACAGGCAGTGAATCCATGCGATCTTTTTGTGAGAAGGATGTCCTGGATGGACTTGTGGATGATCGCCTGCTTGGGGAGCCCATGGTTGACCACACACCGTGTGAACGTTGGCTTCATAAGCGGATACGCCGATGGATTGCAACATGGGTTTTGGTGGGTATGTTTCGACGGAAGTGTCATCGCTGTCGACTGGGCCAGTGTAGTATTCACTGTCGAGCTGTCGGTCGTACTTCTCGTCCAGGTTGAAGACTCGCTTCCTGTCTTCGTGTTTGACCTTCTTCTTGAGACTTTGAAGGGAAGCCTGGATGAGAGCGATGAGCTCCTCTGGTTGTTTGGTGGAGCCGATGAAAGTGTTCTCATAACGCTGACAGTCTTCGCGATGAAGCTGGCGGCGCGTACGGTTGTAGGCGAGTTGTTGAATCTTGAGTTCAGTGATTCGAGCTTGTTCCGTGTCCGCAAGTTGATTCAGTCGGTTCAACTCGCTCTGCAACTGTTCGTTGCGATCCATCTGATCGTCAGTGTCGGTGTCCGAGTCCCTCATGGCGTCGGATAGATCAGTGTGAACGGTTGGTTCCTCTTGCTCTAGGGTGGCGAGAGGCCATTCGTCGCGTTCATCGATATCCGAGAGCGGCATGCGTGGCGCAGGCGGCACAGAGTGACTGCGTGGGCGGTTGGGAAGCGGGGTATACTCGTGTGGTTGTTCATTTTCTTTGTTGAAATCGACACGGTAGACATCGCTTCTCCGGATGTACTCTTTCACCTTTGCCAAGTGGTGGTCGCTTCAGCCACGGGATGGGGAAAACTCAGGAGATCTCCGAGCCGCCACCCTCGCGCGCTTCATCATGGTCAACGACCTGTCCAACATGACGGCCACCGATCCCGATCCCGAAGAGAACTGCCACGAGATTCCAGGCATGATCTGGTGGCCGCTCATCCCCGCCGAGCGCACGCTGGAGGCCCTCGCCAAGCTCCGGCCGGACATGCACCTCCAGGTGGCCATGGCGTGCATTGCTGGCAACTACACGGAGCTGTGGGACAAGCTGGCGCCGGAGCCGTCCAGACAGCTGTGGGACATGGCTTCTTGGGAGCGCGACGACAGCGTCCGGAACCACTTTGTCGATTATCTCAGGAATCGTGCTTCCGAGCTCGGACTAAAGGTCCCTGGCCATCTGCCGGATGTCTGCGACTATCCTGCTCACAACTGGTGCTGGGAAGCGGCGAGAA